AGTGAGTGTGCCACTGTACTCCAGCCTGGGCAACAGAGTGAGACTCCAACTCAAAAAAAAGAAAAAAAGAAAGAACAGCTTTGCTCATAGGTATCATTTTTTCTTATTATTTCAAAGTAGACTTTGGCCTTCAGTGAAAACAATGTTCATACTGAAATAATTTATATTGTAGGAACTGTAACTATAACAGTGATAGAAGTGACTAATCTAATTGATTTTCTTAAATCTTTTGTGGATTAAGATAGAAAACAAACAAGGCTCCTGTGTTTATTTAAATGATTAAAAGTACATTTTGATCAGGTGAGGAGATGTATGGTAATGTACTTTATTATTATTATTATTATTTATTATAAAGATGTGGGGTACAACTCAGGGGTAGACATACATTGATTAAGGAGGTACCATTGTTGATGAGGTATGACCCTCCCTCAACAGTTTCCCTCAACTGCCAATCCCACCCCCCACCGACAGTTTCCCATTACTGCCAAATGCTTTCTTACAGTATTATAATTGTTCAAGGTCTGCTTATGAGTGAGAACATATGGTACTCTGTTCTTTGTTTCTGTGATAGATCACTAAGTATAATTGACTCCAAATTCATCCAAATTGCTGTGAAGTTCATATATTTGTCCTTCTTTATGGCTGCATAATATTTTATTATACCATATGGTATGTGTACGACATGGTAATGTACTTTTTTAAGCTGTAAAGCATTACACAAATATAAAGTCACAACCTGAAAAAGCCTGTTTTGTGAGGCTCCTTTAAGCTTCGACCAGCATGTTTCTGTGTTATTGGGAGAAGCAGATCATGAAGCTGAAGTGGAAGCCTGGAAAAACATGGATTCAGTGGCAGATCTAGTTTTGACTGGGCTACTTTGGTATAATATTTTTCCTGCTGAAATACTTTATAGTCTCATATCTATTGACCCCGTAATTTATATGTAATTTATACACAGGAGGTGCCAAAAATGTATACACATTTTAAGAGATGTTATCTATGTATTAGTATTAAAATTTGAATTAAATTATGGTAGCAATGTGTAGTATGACATTCGCTCAAATGTTTTGCCATTTTCTTTGCCTGTCCTGCCTGTCACATGGTGATGCTAGGATTCATTTGTTTAATGCCGTCTTATGAGTGAACATCATACTTAAGATGTGTATACTTTTTTGCCCCCCCTTATTGTTTACACAAACAAACCACTCACACAGTAAGCTTTCTCTTGGCTGATAACTGATCAAATAGTATTGACAATGATTAATGCCTAATGTATAGTACTTTACAGTCTAGAAAACTCCTTCCACTACGTTGACAATCTACAATCCTCTCATCAGCCCTTTGAGGGTGACATTTTTCATCTCTTTTTAAGAAATGTTATCAGGTGTTAAATATGATTCACCCAAGATATTATCTCTAGTAGAGGCAGATGCAAAATTCAATGCAGAATCATGTCTTCTTTACACCATCCTACACAACAGATTTCCACTAAGACAAAGTGTTTTTCAATATTTGACTCACCATTAGCACATTTATTTAGAGACTGAGGAAAATAGAAAAGCAGACGACACTCAAACTGCTCATTTATTACTTCTCTGAATGGAAGATTAAATTAAAATCTTATTAACCAGAAAAGTTGGAGTATCACATACTGTTACAATCTGTGAAGCTAAAGAAATAGATTGTTATAATTTATAAAGAGCAAGGAATAGTGCTTTTTCTTTCAGTAACAGCTGAGTGGTCCTTATATGACTAACCTTTCCACAGTTAAGAACAATAATGCTGAAGAAAGTATAAAAATAAACTATTTGAAGGTCCTGGAGAATGACCAAAACTGAGTAGAAACTGCAGGAGAATCTACACTTAGAAGAAGAGTGAGTTTTCTGCTTTTATAACTTTGACATTATAGGTCACTATATAGGTCAGCTAAAACACATGTTTAGAGCAGTCTGATTGGCTCAAGGTACCACTGATCAGAGTGATGGTGACCATGGCAGCTGGAAAGTGAGAGATGAGAACCTCAGAAGGGATTGAGTGAAAATAGAAGCTCCAAATTCTGCACATAAACAGTCCAAGTCTCTGACTGGCCTCTAAATTCTGAATGTGTAGTTCAGCTTTTAAACAGCCTAATTAAAAATAAAATAACTGAACATCATCTACCACAGAGAAAATATGAGTTTGGAGTTTAAGTTTATTCATATTAATGAATAAATAATAATATTGGTTCATAATTCATAAATATGAGTTTGGAGCTTATTTCATCCGAGTTAGCTGTGAAACAAAACAAAAAATAAAGACTTTTTGGAGGACTATAACAGAATCCAGAGATTCTATCATTCACAATATTCAGGACACAATCCAAAATTAGTATGCATATAAAGAGACAGGAAAATGTGGCCTACACTTTAAAAAAAAGGCAATAAAGAGAGAGTGACACTGAGATGACCCAGGTGTTGGAATTTGCCAACAAGGAGTTTAAAGCAACTATTATAACTATAAGTATGTAAAGAAACACATTCAATGAAAGAACCCATAGGGGATCTCATCAAAGAAATAGAAACTATAAGAAAGAACTAAATGGAAATCCCAGAACTAAAAAATACACTTGATGAGGGCTAGAGAGTTGACTTCCAAGATGGTTTCACTCACATGACAACTGGCAAGAAACCTCTGTTTCTTACTAGCCCTTGTCAGCAGTCCTCAAATCCTTGTCATGCAGACCTTTCTACTGGGCTGCTTGACATGGCAGCTGACTCCCCCAAAGTGAGTGAGCCGAGAGAGAAAAAGAAGTTGGTTACAAAGATCAACCAGGATTTGGAAAATGTTAGGGGCCACCTTGGTGTCTGGCTCAAAATGCATAGTGAATATATACATATAAATATAATTTTATTTGTATTTTTTTGAGTTGGATTCTCACTCTGTCACCCAGACTGGAGTGCAATGGCACGCTCCCAGTAACTGCAGCCTTGCTCTGCTAGGTTCTGGCGATCCTTCCGCCTCAGCCTTCCAAGTAGCCGGAACTACAGGTGCGCGCTACTACGCCTGGCTAATTTTTGATTTATTGTAGAGACTCGTCTTGCCAATTTGCCCGAGTGGGTCTCGAACCTGCAGGCTCAGGCAATCCACTTGCCTCGCCTTCCCAAAGTGCTGGGATTATAACTGAGCCACCGAGCCTGGCCGCATAGTGAATATTTACTGATCAAACTGATGTATTTCTGATTTCTGCTAAGCATTTTACATATATTATCCTATTTAATCCTGATAACAAGATGAAAAAACTGAGGCTTATAAAAGTTAAGTAGACTGTTCAATTCTATTAGATAGCATAGCCAGAGTTCAAACACAGATCTCTTTAGGCTCAAAGGCTGTGAAAAATGGTTCACAGCAAAATGAATGCAAACATTACAGTATTCCAAAGAAATTGATTTAGATGGCATTTTAAATTTTGTTTAAATGAGTGAAACTCATTTGTATATGGGGAAAGAACCTAGAAAATATATCAAGCAGAAAACTCTAGAATTCTGCAGGCGAATAAAAAGTTAATTGGAATCCTATAGTTGACAAGGTGTTGATTTCATTTTTTCCTCTTTTACTAGGTGGTTTCAAGTTCTTGGCAGTTGCTTGGAAACAAGGAAAGGCACGAATTCTACCTCTGATTACCCAAAGACTTAATTCAACCAAAATCTGTTGATCATTTAGTGTGTTTATGTCACTGTGGTAGTTTCCTGGATCTACAAAGCAAGTGGACACAAGCTCTGTGGGATTATGGTGATACAAAAATAATAACACAGAGAAATTAAGCACCATAGAGAAGTACACAAGGAATGTTTATTGAGGTCTGAATTTTTAAAAGATTAGATGTCTTTAAACACGTTTGGTGCTTGGTGCGGTGGCTCACGCCTGTAATTCCAGCACTTTGGTGGGGGTGGGGATGGGGAGAGAAGATTGCCTGAACTCAGGGTTTCAAGACCAGCAACTTGGTGAGACCTCGTTTCTACAATAAATCAAGAAAAATTAGCCGGGGGTAGTGGCACATGCCTGCAGTTACAGCTACTTGGAAGGCTGAGGCAGAAGGATTGCCTGAGCCCAGCAGGTGGAGGCTACGGTGGTCATGAGCATGCCACTGCATTCCAGCCTGAGTGACAGAGTGAGACTCTGACAAAAAAACAAAAAACAAAAAACCCCACAGAACCAAAAAACCAAAAGCCACATTTGGTGTTTATTGAAATAATTGAGTGTGATAACCTTTGGAAATCAACATTAGATTACGTCAAGAGAGTCGGCCCTTATTATTACTTTTTTATTTTTATTTTTTTGAGTTGGAGTCTCACTCTGTCACCCAGAGTGGAGTACAATGGCATGCTCACGGCCACCACGACCTGCTGTGCTCCGGCGATCCTTCCACCTCAGCCTTCCAAGTAGCTGGAACTACAGGTGCATGCAACCATGCCTGGCTTATTTTTTTGATTTATTGTAGAGATGAGGTCTCACCAAGTTGCCTAGGCTGGTCTCGAACACATTATTTTTTAAAAACCAGTTAGAAAACTTGCAAAGATAGTGACTTGCTAACTTTTACACACATCTCTTAGTCAGGAATGACAATTTTCTAGGAAGGGTGGCAGAAAATGAGGTATATATATGTTTCTGGAATGCAAGAATGAAAGAAAAGGGGTGGAGGTTCAAAGTCCAGGGGTCTTCTGTGAGAATGTAGGAATGAAATCGGGACAAACAGAAGAGAGGGTGAAGTGGGTAGGGGAAGGGGAGTTTAGAGACTGATTGGAAGGAGTTTTAAGGTGATAATGCTCGGGTAGAAAGAGTAGGACCCGTCCCCCCCAGGACTGGGAAGAAAAGAGTCCTGCTAGATGAGTTGAAATGGCAATGTGTCCTCCTCCTGATTTCCCCCTCCCTACTCCCAGGGGAAATAGTCCTGTGCATAGTCGGGCTTGACAGAAAAGGCTATGGAGCCGACAGTCTACGCAAGAACTAGTTTCAGACCAAACTTCGCCATGGCCGCTGAGCATGCTCAACTTCGTTTTCTGCAGAAATGGAAACTCCGTGGCTCCAGATTTTAGCTGCCGCAGCTCGAGGAGGGCGGGGCGTCGTGGTGTCCTGGCAGAGGCCACAGGTGGAACCCGGAGTTTGAGTACACTTGATAGGGGAGGTGTGGGGCAAGGGGGATGCGGGGCGGGGAGTCAGAGGAGACCCCAGCAAACAATTCATCAATGTGATTGGCGATGGCATGATCGACAACCCTTTTGCAAAGGAGCAAGTTAGTTACTTGCAGATGGAGACTGTGGTGCAAACAGCTGGTGGTGGTGGTGGTGGGTGTGTGTGTGTGTGAAGACAGTTCAGGGTTCCAGCGGTGGTCCACGGGAATGGGCCGGGGGAAAGGGCATAGTCGTTGTCACCTAAGAGTGAGGCTCCCGGGTCCTCTCCAGTCACTCCTTCTTGGGCTGGCTGTACGGGACACGAAGTTGCTGCAGAAACGCGGGAGCCGGATGGAGGACGCTCGCCCCGCACCCGGGACCTGCCTCTCTCCGCTCCTCCCTCCACAGCATCCTGGGCAGGTCGCCAGAGGCCAACATCTGGCCGGGCTGGAACCGGCTCAGAAACTCACCTTTGCCAGGTCGTCCATGCACTCGGCCTCCTGGCCGGGTGCATCCACATCTGCAAGACTCTCGGACTCCCAGGCTTTGGGTGGCATGGGGAGAAGGACTTCCTACTACTAAGCTCCCGGGGTGCAAAGCCTGCAGGCGGGGCCCGAGGCTCACCCTCCTGGGGCTGCTGTGAGTAGCGAGGGCGTGGAGACGCCGCGAAACCGCCCCGGAGCCCGCG